GAGAAAGTATGTGAATGGTGCTTTGAAAACAATAAAGCACTAAGCAAACCTAAGACATTTTACTATAATTTCTGCAATGTCCTATTTGTTGAATTCTTGAGTTCATTGAATATTGAAAGTTCTATATCTTGTGCCAAATTAAGGGTAGGGTATTACCAAATACTAGCCATAAAGAATTCTTTTATATAAAGAAAAATATATTTATATTTTTTCTTTGAATTTCTTTATACTCTTTTAAGAAATGTGGTATAGGCACAGAACTAAAAATTTGGTGTCTTAGAGAATGTTGTGGAAATTTATAGGCTTTGGTTTATACAGACTGAAGAAGTTTTTCCATCTTTCTGGTATTTTATTCCTGTCAGTTTGCATTGCTTCTTTCCTTCCCCTCTCCTCTTCCGCCAGGTTTGGTTTTAAGCTTCAGATTCAAAGAAACCCCAAAGTCAAAACAAAATGGTCAGAACTGCTGACTCTTGTTTTGTAATCTTTTTTTAGTTCAGTATTCACAGGAAGAGAGGGTGCTGACCAGAAATTGGGCCTAACTTCACCCAAAATGTTGGCAAGATTCAGGAACCTTTGAGTGAACTTGTGCCAAGTTAATGATATATAGCAAAACTTCACCAATTTTCCAAAAACATTTAAAATATACTTTAATGATATAATATCACCCTATAAAAAGTTGAGTCAGTACTTAAAATTTAATATTAATCTACTGCCTCTTTTAAATAAAAGTGAAATAGTCTAATTTATGTTTTGTATTAAATGGAGTCTTTTGTTTTTTAAAGTTAGAGATACATTTTGGAACTGTTCATGCAAAATGTATTTGTGGCTTCATTACCTTTGAAGTTTCCTTTGAAAATTTGTAATTAAGAAAAAAAGTATCCTACAATTTTGCTTATCAGATTTCATCTCAGAAATTTTACAGCTATGTTATAAACCTTCCACAAGAGTGACTTTATAATGGAAATGCTGACAAATGTGATAATAAGCACCAATCCAAGAGTCTTAATTGTATGTTCGTGTGGGAATTATGCATACTAGCAGAAGATTTGTCTCAGTTTTCAGTACTAATTTTGCCAAAACTGCTTTCACACTGGGTGACTAACGGTATAAGATGATCAGCCTGAATGGCTCCCTGTTGATGGCAAAGGCTTCTGATTATTTTTACATTCCTTGGAAAGCTTCATTATGTCTTTCAAATATGATTTCATTTAGATCTTTTTATGGTTACATGTCTGAATACTAATAGTAATCTGATAGTTATGGGGAACATAGTTTGAGACCAAAAGGCAGTTTTCAGTCAGTAAAGAGTATATAAATAAATTACCTCCAAGCAACATCTAAAATGGTATTTAGAGTCTAAATGTTCAAATAGCTTTAAGATTTCAAAACCCAATTATTATAATTTTCCAGAAGTAACTGACAGCATTAGAATTAAAAAAAAATTTTATGGTAGAAATTATTGAAAAGCCAGTAGCCACTCATATTCCTATCAATGTTGGTTTAGAACATAACAAAGAGCAAAACCATTTTAACATAATACGTTACATACAAAACTACAATTAAAACTAAAACATTGCTTAGAAAAGATTAGTGTCAAAATATGGAGGTGCACTGGATTTAAGTTCAAGACACGGATCATTTTGTCTTATCTCTATGGATGATTTGGTGTAAGGAATAAGTCAATTCATTTCTCTGTGTCTCTGATCTTTATTTGGCTTCAAATTATTGTTAATACAATGATCATTAATATACCTTAACAGACTATATTTTAGAGCAGCTTCTAAACAAGCAAAAACTTGCAAAGAATAAAGTATTTATGAACTGCAACTGTTTTAAGAATGATATATATCACTCTTCTAGTAATAGTGGGGAAATACTTTTTCATTGAGAAGTTCTTCAGGTATTGTTTTCTATGTTGAAGAGGCATTCACTGTAGGAATATTATGTGCTTACTTAGAGCGTAAGAGAGTGTGTCAGAATATAAGGAAGAGGATTAAGGATGATAGCTGAGTGTATTCCCTTTTCAGGATGCAATAATGTTGATGGTCCCTGGTGTACATAGTTTTGCTTTATTTGCGGCTTTCAAAACAGGTTTATCCAACAAAATATTAAAAATGTTTATATTTGAACCACCTTTTTCTTTATATTTATTCAACAACTGCTTATTTTTTTAAAATGATGCTTATTAAAGAAGGACTTTAACTGGGAGTAGGAAGAAATCTTCACTGAGTCTCCTCTCCTCATGTACCCACACCTATCTGAAGGACCTTGGTTCAAGTACTAGCAAGTCACCTAGAAGGAAGAATTGTGGAACAGCAATTATGAACCTATTCACAGTAACTGTAAAGTCAACACATTTTTTGATTGAGTGACTGAGTTGTTGGATCGATAAACATGAGGGACTGATGGAGCCACTAACATCCCAAAAAGAGTTGGGAGCAGAATATTGTATGATGATGAGTTGAAAAATAATTAGCTATTTTTATTTTGCATATCAAAATGAGTAAGTTAAAATTTATCTTAAAAATATAGATATGCTGGTCTAGGTAACCAAAATGTTGACTAGAAAAAGAAGAGAAAAAAAGAGAAAAAGAGGAATTTTACTTTATAAAACTGATATAGAGGTCATTGTCCAGGTCTCAGTTTGTTTTAATAAAGGTGCTAGAGAATAAGAAAAGAACCCTACCTGGTTTTGTTGTTGTTTGTCTTAGCTGTTTACATTTCTTTCTTACCTGTTTATCCTGATGCTCTTATGGTAGAGGTGGAAAAAAAATCCTGGTGGAAAGACACAATCAAAATAAGAAAACATCTTGGGGTGAGAGCTCATTTTAGAATTAATCCAGTTTCTATGGGAAGGAGAACTGAGAGAAAGTTTAAATGTTCCAAGCACAGATGAAGGCTCTGGGGAACCTGCAAGAGAACCTGCAAGATCCTGCAGTGCTGGAGGGAGGGAGAGTGAGGAGGCAGAACCCACCAACGAGGAAATCCAGTCATTTGCATCTACAAACTTAAATACTCTTTTCATCCACTTATTATAAGTACTCAATATCAGGAAATCATAATAGATGGAAAAGACATTAATAAGAACGCTCTTTGCAGCATCATTTATTCTCTTAAAAGAAAATATCTCAATCTATCCACCTGTAAATGATTGGAGTTAAGTTGTGATACATCGACATGACAATGAAATGGTAATCAAAATCACATTTGGATAATACTTAAAGAAAAAGTGCTCATTCTATAATGCCGAGTGAAAAAAGAAACAGTATATCCAAAAGCATCTCAAATTTGTTAAATATATTGAATTTATAACTTCATTGTAAAAAGACTAGAAGGAAATAGATGGAAATGTTAACAGTACGTTAATATGGGGTGATCGATTTTTTTTTCCTTTTTGGGACTCTTGTTTTTCAAACTCTCTAGAATGAATATATATTTCTTATTAATAAAATGGATTTTATTTCTAAAAACATGATAGGATTGAGTGCTTGCTCGGGAGCCCGCGGATACCTTTGCACAGTGAGTGGCGAAAGAGTGTTGAAATGATCACTGGGGATTATCCTTTACGTTTGCTGAATTTACCTTTGGGTAGGCATTATCCACTGGGGTTCCTCTCCTCACGTTCCCATGCCCATCTGAAAGACCCAGCTCAGATGCTAGCAAGTTACCTAAAAGAATTGTGGAATGGCAAAGCGTCCAAACTGGAGGCGGCCTCTTGGCACCGACCTCCTTCAGCCTCGTCTCCCTCGCAGGCATTTTGCCAAACGTCGGAACGTATCTCTTCTTTTGACTTTCGTCGTCCCCGGGAACCCCTAGATGCCATTAGAATGAACGCTATCTTCCCTACCTAGAGCTGCAAATATAAAAGTGCGCGCTCAGCCGTCGCTGCGCCTGGAAGAGCCCGGCCCCTTCCCCCAGGCGACAGTGGCTAGCGCAGACGCGAGGCGAAGGCACTGGGCACCCAAGACCTCCTGCATGCCCAGGAAGGCCTGGAGTGCGTGGACCCGAGGTGCCTCCCGCTCCTCAAATCTGGCCTGGGGTCCAACGGGCAAAACCGATTTGCACTCGGGCTAAGGCACTGAGTGAACTTCACTGTGGCCCGGGGACGAGGAGCCGCGGTCCCTCTGAGACCCACTAGGTGAAGAGAGGGGGTGCGGAGAGAGAGAGTAGGAGACAGGAAGAAAAGGAGAGAGGGACAGAACAGGAGAGGGAGAGAAGGCGGAAAAGAAATGCGGAAGGGAGAGGAGGGAAGCAGGGAAGACGGGAGGAGTAGGAGGAGGGGTAGAGAAGGAGAGAGGGTGAAAGGAGAGAGGGAGAGGGGGTGGAGAGACAGAGAAGAAGGGAGGGGGAAGAGGGTGAGCGCGCGCAAGGTGGTAGGGGAGGTCAGGGGAAGGAGAGAGAGAGGAAGACAGGAATGATGTCCCTTCTCCGAGGTCGTACTTTGTCATCCGGTTCACTCGACTGCTCTTCCTTCCGAATTTCTTTCTGTCTCTCCACAAGCCTCGGAAGACCAGACGAGAAATTCCGAGTCCCCTGGCCTATCAGAAAACCTCGCACTCCAGCACCTGTCACCGGTTTCTACTCCAGGATCCTCCACTCGGGCGCCATGCAGAGCACCTGCCGGGGATGGCGCATTGCCAACACTTGAGGTTTAACAACAACAACAAAGTAACAGTTTCTACTTTACTGTTTCTACTGAAAAAAAAAGAAAGAATAAGGTGGGGAAGAGAGATTGAACTCTAGAAGCTCCAAGGTCTGCCGTTTACGGGAAGGAGTCTCCTCCCACACACCTGGCCCGCAGAAGCCCCAGCCTAGCTGGCCCGACTAGTTTGACACTTTCTAACTCGCCCCGCTTGCCCCTGACTCCCACTCCACTGAGGGCAATCGCGTATATATTAATTGTAAGGCTGCCACTCTTCTCAGCGGGCTGTGAGGATTTTCAATCCTGAACCCAAGCTCCAGAAATCCAGACGTTCTGTCTTGGAGCGTCCTTTCTTGCCTTTCAGCCTCACCCACTGTCCGCTCCTAAAACGCTCCAGCTCGGGCGCGCCCAGGCGGGGAGGGGGCAGGCATCCCTCTCCCCACCCTGTTGGCTCAGCCGGTTTCCTTCTTTTCACAGCTCTCCAGGAGCTCAGTCATGAAGGAGATGTAGACGATGGCTAGGCGTAGGGTCTCGATCCGGGACAACCTCTTCTCGTAAGCAAAAGTGGGCACCTTCCTCCGCAGCTGGTCGAAGGCCTCGTTGAGGTTGAACATCCGCTTCCTCTCGCGGATGTTGGCCGCCTGGCGCTGGGCGTAGGTGATCACCCTTTTTCTCTTGGGGCGGCCCAGGAGAGAGGCGCCTCTTCCGCGCTCCTCTTCCTCCTCCTCTTCCTCGTCCCCTTCGTCTACGTAGCCCTCCTCTTCTGGGCCCTCCTCCCCAAACCGCGCCATCCTCCTGGGCGTTCCTTCTCGGAGCGCAAGGGCTCGGTTCCCAAAGGGGACTCCGGGAGCGAAGTCGCAGAGGAAAGAGTGTCTCGGGGAGGCCAGGGACAGGTCTGCGACGAAGTCCAGCACGGTGGCGTCCACGCAGCTCTCCGGATAGGCCGCCATCGCTTCGGCTTGTCCCTTCGTCTCATCGATTTCTCGCAGGGAGGGGCGAGGCTGCTGATGGGGATTCTGAACAGTCTTGAATCTGATGGGGCCCCATGCCTGAAGGATCAGGGGACAGGAAATATTTATAACCAAGCTGATAACAGGATTAGTCGCTTCGATAAGGACAACTCTGACACCGCTCCTCCTCTCAAAATAAACGGAGGAAGACAAGCTTGAGCACGCATGGAAGTCTCCAAGGGACAGGCCTCCACTTCTGAGATCCTTTTCTCTGCGCCACCCGGGACAGTTCCTTCTTGGCAACAACCCCTAGCTCTTACCTGCCGTGCTTTTTGTGTCTCTCCTCACCCCCCGCAGCCAACTAAATTTATCCAGGCTCCTTATCTCATGTAGTTCTTTAATTTCGGTTGGGATTTTCAAAGCGATGATGATTTTCCACCGCGTTGGCTTCTCCTTGGCTTCAGAGTAAGAGCCTTGAATCTTTCCACCATCTGCCAATGGATGCGAAGCGAGTGCATGTGCTTTTAATGATGTCCTGAAGAGGGGCCCTGCCTGCCAGGGGTCGAGGGGAACTGTTTGTCTGGTATCCCAGTGCAGCGGTTGCTGAAAGGCAAGACCTTCCATTAGCTTAAGTAAGCATGGCAGGGGGGGCCGGGAGCGCATTCCCCAGAGTCGCTGTTGGAGCCGGCTTTCTTTTTCTTTCCAGGGCATCGCAAACAGCTCTCCTGTTGTGTTACAAACGCTGGCTTCTAATGTCTGTTTGGATGCAATCAGTCTAACAGTTGGGATACTCGTCTTTCCTTTCTCTAACCCTTGTCGTCTACTCATGAGAAACAGAGGATTTTTATTGAGGGAGAAATTTATGATAATGGCAATAAAATGGAAGAAAAAAAAAAGGAAACTCAGAACATTTTCTATGCTCGGACTTTACTGTATAATTTCCAGCGTGGGGGACAAAGCAAACCCTCCCCCCAAACAAAACCACTTCAATCTCTTTTCAAAAGTGTGATTCACCCTTGATAAGCCAAAGGGTCAATCAACTCACCCTCTGCTGAGGTGTCTTTGGGCTTTTAAATTGCTGAACGAAAATGTGTTCGTGAACAAATAAAAATCCTGACACTTTCACTGGCTTATTTTCCTCATTGTTTCATACCTTACTATAGAATTTAAGCACATAAACTATAACTTATTGAATTATATTTAAGGAAGGTGTTTGAATATTTTTAGATTGTTTTTTGAAATAAGAAAGCTATTTTAAACTTGCTATAACGAGAATAAAATTTCACTGATTTCATACTATTCCTAATATTTTAACAAGTGTTCTTTTTTCTTATTTGTTTGACAATAACTCTATTATTCATTACTGCATAGATTAAAAAAAAAAACCTGGTGGAAAACAGTGACATGTTAGAAAGTAATTTTAAAGGTAGCTTAAGATAAATAGCTTAAAAATGTAAGTATAGAGATACCCCGGTTCAAAGGAAAACCTCTTAGACCATCAGTCCCCATTAAAGAGGTAAGTCGTGGCTGTGACGGTTCACTCAGCACATTGGACAGCTCCCAGAAACCGCCAATTTCTAACAGGTAATCACAATTCCTTTCCTTCTTTCTAGCCTTCCAGTGTGTAATCAAAGCAGTATTACCTTGAATTCTTTTTCTTTTAACCAATTAGTGTCTGGACTCTCTCTTGATCTTTTGTCTTTTAATATATTTCCTTTTATTTTGCTCGTGTGTATTCTTCTTTCTCCAATTTGTGCTGAGATAACTCAGACAGAATAATGGAAATTTTTGTTTCTGAAAGATGTTGATGAGAATGAGATATTTGGTGACTGATTACTTACTTGACTCTTACTGAGCTTTTTGTAAAGGGAACGCTGAAAAATAAAACTAATTGGAAGGTCAACAATGCTAAGGAATCATTAAACAGGGAAAATTTGATTTTTGTTTTGAGAAGTTGTAACATACTTTCTAACTCTTGTTTAACTTAATGTGTTAGTAACTAATATTTGAGAAAATTTATAATTGATTTTAAATTATGTTTAATTTTTAATGGCATCTTTTCTTTTAAATCTATGTGCAAGTGGATTAAATACCTCAGTCAAGTGAGACTCTAGTTTCATAACAAAATGCATTATTAGGACATTTAATGAAGAAAAACATGGTTGATATTTAAATTTAAAATTTTATAAAATAGGGTCAGAGGTTCTTGTGAGACTGTAAAGAGACACTTTCATTGGACTAAATTTTAGCCAGGGAAATGAATATTCCAACAACTATATTACAAAGGAGACTGTAGCAAAATTAATGGAACCAGCACCCAGAATTGTGTTGAAATGCTATTACAATATTAGAAATTAAAAAATTTAATAGGTGTACTTGCAGCAATAATTTTAGAATACTTAATTTCATCATAACATCCCAGGTAAACACTTTTGTTTATACCATAGTAATTTTAGTTTATTTTACAAGGTCCTAATCATGCAGACACAATCAGAGCAAAAAAATGCTAGCATCTAAGTCACAATAATAACTATCTTATTTATATTTATAGTTAGAACAATTAATAATTATACATATTTTATTTATAATTAATTATAAATACAAGTAAAATTGACATTTCCCTGCTTAGCTTGAAACAGTCCCCTTATTTTTTTTTTTTTTTTTTTTTTTTTTTTTTTTTTTTTTCATTAATCAGTAGTTTTTATTATGGTTTTGTGGGGTACAGTTAAGGGTAGGTGTACAATGACGTTTCATTCAGGCACCCTGTAGATAAGAAGTGTTTTCCCATCCCCCGACAGATATTTGCTACTATTAATCCCATCCCCCTCCCCCCCATAGTTTCCCAGTACCGTCCGTCATTTTCTCATAGTATTGCATTGGATGTTCAAGGTCCATTATATGAGTGAGAACATGTGATATTCGGATTTTTGTTTTTGTGAGAGGTCACTCAGTATTATAGACTCTAGTTCCATCCAGGTTGCAGCGAAATTCATGATTTTGTTCTTTTTTATGGCTGCGTAGTATTCCATCGTGTATATGTACCACATTTTTTTAATCCAGTCCTCTTTTGATGGGCAGCATGGTTGTTTCCAGGTTCTTGCTATTGTGAACAATGCTGCGATAAACATACGTGTGCAGGTATCTTTTTTATAGAGTGATTTGTGTTCTTCAGGGTATATTCCCAGTAGGGGGATTGCAGGGTCATATGGAAGGTCAATTTTTAGAGCTTTTAGG